CCAAGACCAACTTCGCTGTCACGATTGCCAACGTGCACCTGCTGTCCATTGTGGAGGTATGAGAGGCTGCGCCTGCATCTCTCTGCACTGGCCTGACGGACCACGGCTTCTCTCGCATCGGGCAGTCCGAGGCAGGGCGCACCGCGGCAAGTCAGAGCAGCGGTTCCTTGACGAGGAGGCATTGCGCTCAGCACTGCGCGTCCGCATAGAGCACCTGATTCGCAAGAAAAGGTTGATGTACGTTGGTCCTCTCTTTTCGAGGCTCCAGCTGTGATTTGGTTGTTGGTGGATCAGGTGGCGCGCATTCCAGGATCTTTAACGACACTGTTTCAACCTGAGTTTATGTGGCCTGCCACATTCGACAAGGACGGTGATCGTGCTACTTGGACGTTGAGGGGGTGGCTTGCTTTCTTCGAAGAGCATCCCTCAGACTTTCGTGCAGGAGTGCAGCGTGATTGGCCGCGTTTCTTGACAACTGACCTGGAGCGACTGCAGACGACGGCGTGGGCAACCAAGCTGGCAGCGTACAGGCAGGACGTGGAGCTAGAGCATGTGTGGAACATCGCTACGCCTGCTACACTTGTCGCTGGACATCGGCCTCCATCCCTGCGCAGCGAAAACACATGCTGAATCACCAGCCGCTGGACGCTGCCCAGATGGTGGCGCCAGGGCCTGTCTGTCAAGCATGCGGCGCGAAGTTCGCTGACCGATCGAACATATCACGACACCTTCGGCGTCTCAGCAACCGTTGCGTGCTCTGGCTGGCTGAGCACGGTGATCTGCTGCCCCCTGAGGAGGCCGAGCGAGCGGCTGAGGCAGGACGCCTTGAAAAGGAAGCGACAGCTGGTGAGGCAGACTCATAATTATCGCAAGGTCATCCAACTGGCTGGGCGAGACGAGCGCTGGGGCGGTCGCGAAGAGCCTTTACACCGACCGCAGCCGCCAAACGTCCAGCTGGAGATTGCCTCATCTGAGCCCCCTGTCGACCGTCGAAGGCTAGGCACAGTCCAGAAGGTGCATCATGTTTGAGCAGGCGGTTATGTTCACGATGTTGCCAAGTGGCTCGGGACCGTCGTGGCGGGGTCGCTGGAGATTGCAACGGTCAAGGCAGTCACAGAGGACGGAAGCCTCAACACCCTCTCGCCCAAGTAGATCGAGGATGTAATCACTGAGATGCCCGAGGGAAGGGTGGTGGGATTGGAACTGCCCCCGACGATAGATAATTGCATGGTTGAATTGCGAAGGGCGGCATGCTGTACAGAGGTTTCTACGAACAGCTGATCAACCTTGGGGGCTTCGAATACTTGAGGCTGAGGCGAGCGAGAAACTGAGCTTCGAGAATGAGCAGTTACGCCAAGCTCGGTAAGCCTTGGAAGCAGTTTATGTGACAAGGGCTCCCGCACATTTGGTTTCGGCAACCCGCGCTTGTCAGGTCATGTCGGCAGCAGTTCCCCAGGACGCACAACCAGTAGGTAGCCATCTCGTGGTTGAGCAGGTGGATGTTTGCATGATGGGCGGTCCTGGCCACTGCGCTACAGTGGTGGTCTAAGTTCAAATGAGTCTGTAGATTGAGCTTGCAAGGCATCCCGGTCGTCGCCGTTGCACTCATCGGGGGCATGCAGCTGGTGCACGTCTGATGACAAATGAACGGCCGCTAGGCCTCTCACGCATCTTGGCACGGTCGCTGGCGCAGGCCAGCCTTTCCGCGCACGCTGCTGCTGTCGGAGGCAGCCGCTCGCAAGGCTGAAGCCCATGCCATGGTGGATGGGGAATATCTAAGACTCATGGCGGAGGAGGGAGCTCGACTGTGTTAGAGCAGGTAGAGTTCTACTTCAGGGTCCAGCTAGCCATCGACCTTGCGGAAGGGAGTGCAGGCATCGCTTGTGCACCTGGGCCAGCGTGCAAGGCAGTGCTGTGGTTTCCCTGGTGCCCTCCTTCTCTCTCTCTCTCTTCCACTTTATCTGTGTTGTCATGTTGATTGTTGTACCTTCGCCTTGTACCGTCTTGTTCTCCCTTTCGTGCGCGGTCGCCTTGAGACGGCTTCCCCCGACCCCGCCAGCTCGAGCCCCAGTTGAATCGGGCCGATTGGGCCGATTGGGCGAGGGGGGAAAACCTGAGTAGCGACATTGCTCGTGAGCAAGCTCGAGGCGCCTTGGTGCCCCTGTAGTGTTCGCCCTAGTTATGCCTTCATGCCCATCATGTGTGTCCCCTTGAATTTCCATCCTGCATTGTCTATATATGCCTGGCTGTCCCTGAACGATAATACGTGTGCTGTTTCTCGCCGATGGTATTGGATACCTCGCATTTCGGAGTTTTCTCGATCCAATGCCGCTGGCGTCTGCCTGTCGCACTGTCTGCGCGTGCCCTGTTGCAGCGCAGCTGCCCTGAGCTTTGATCAGTCTCGCTCCACTAACGGTCCCTCCTGCTCGTTGGGTGTGGGGCATAGGGCGGGCGAAATACCTGGAGAAGGTTGAGGAGAAGAGGGCTCTTGGCCGTCCACCCATCCCACAACGCCTCCGAACTTATGCGAATGCAGCTGCGCCAGGTGGCTATGGCACGATGCAACTGCTTCTGCCCCTGTCTCGCCCGCCTTGCGCAGGCGCCGCCGACGCTACGAGCGTGCGAGTGCGCTCGGCATCCTGCGCAATAACACAAAGAAAGGGGGCGGACCCCCCTCGCATCGTGAAAAAATACGCCGGGAGCTGTTCGACACGTGTCAGCTTCTGGGTTTTACCAGGCCCTGGGGAGAAAAAGTGAGTCGGATCGGGCCGAATCGGGAGTCGGGATCGAGTCGGATCGGCCGCGCCAGTATGCACAGCAGCGCCATCGATCATCGGGCCGCGTCGGATAGTCGAAATATCGGAATCGAACTTGATCGAGCCATCCGAAATCGGCATCGAATCACTGGAAAGGGCAGGGAAGGGAAAAGGGAGGGGAGGCGGCGCGAGTTCGGGCAGATCTCCGCGCCCAAGGAGCACGCAGGCCCATGCTGACGCTCTTGGAGCCAAAACAGGGCTCCGTTGCGGAGGGGCAGATATCCTGTACAGGGCGATCTCGGCGCACCGCACGCGGCTCACGTGAGAGCCCTCGGTGTCGAAGGAGTGGCAGCGAACACACTTTTACGTAGGCGGCGAGGCAGAGGTATACTGCGCCAGCGGTCCAACATATCGGGGCTACCAAAGAGCGAATTGCCCAGCATGCAAGAGGAGAGACTGAGACAGACAGAGCGACCGCGGAGGCGGGGGAGGAGGGGGCACTCACAGGTGAAGACCTCCATCCTAAGCGCGCCAGCGCGGCCAGCAACGGCAGCGGGGACCGTGGCAGAATCCAGGCCGCGGCGTCGGTACATCCACGGGCGCTGCCAAAGCCCAGCACGTGGAAAACAAGGGTACGCACTGATGAGCCGTCCAGGTGTGAACCGGCTACGTACTGCAAGCGAGAAACCGCACAGCAGAGCCGTCCAGGCGGGCCGACTGCGTAGGTACTGCAGCGGCAGCGAACACACGGCGCTTGCTAACGTACGCGTCGCGTCGGCTTAGGACCGAAGGCGCCGATCGTTGATGCGCACCGTGAAACCGATGTTTCGGTACACTTCCTGCGGGAGGAAGCGGCGGCAGTGGCGGCAGGGGACATGCGCAAACGACTCGGAGTGCTATGACTTTCCTGGCCCTCCCAGGTCCGCTCCCCTGGCTTCGTCAGAGAGGTATCACCAGTCCCAAGCTCTGGAACTGTGGCAGGCCCATGAGGCCCTCACTTTTCCAGCGGGCGCTCGCCGTACTGAGAAAAGGAAAACTGCCATGGACGCGCGAACATGGAGCCAGCGCACCCCGAAGCCGGACACTTCCACACCACGAATGATCCTGAAGCTTAAGCTTTGCACAGCTTAACGGATGAAGGGCGGGTCGCTTTCAAAATGTGACTCTCGCCTTCGCGCCGCGCAAATCTCTTACAAAGTTGAATGAGTTTTACAAATGAACAATGGATCGTTTCCAAGATGTGTCTATCGCCTTAGCGCCGCGCACATTCGTTGTCAGAAATCAGACCAGTTTCACGGATTATCATGGTTAATGTCCGTGGTACAATTCAGCATCGTCAACACGCAACAGTAACAATGATTCGCGGCGTTGAATTGCCAAGCATTATGTGCTGGCTCAGTTCAAGAAGTTCAAACGATCTTTTTCGGTGAGGATGAATCCTTGCAGGCGCATATTAGGGGACTTGAAAGGAGGGTTCATTGCAACATCGTTGATGGGATTTGGGTTTACGATGGTCCTCCCCCTCCTCGCTCACCTCCTCCTCATCCTCCTCCTCCTCTTCCTCCTCTTCCTCCTCCCTTTCCTCCTCCTCCTCCACCTCCTCCTCCTCCTCATCTTCCTCCTCTTCCTCCTCCTCCTCCTCCTCCTCCTCCTCCTCCTCCCCGATCTCCGCCACCTCCCTCCCTCCCCCTTTAGAGGCCTATCGAATGGGGCCAGGGGGAAAGGTGCCAGAGGATCACCCCGAATCGCCGATGAACTGCCAATTCAACGACCGTGCAACGGCGAAGCGACGTCGGAGCGGAGAACATCGGGCTCTCCAAATCGAGCCGCATCGCCAATGCATCGGCGATGCGGCTGGATCCTCCCACCCCATCGCCTCATCCCGTGGCGCGGCGCGTAGGAGGACGCGGACTTTACACGTGCGCCGATGCTGGCCAGGCCCGTGCTGGCCCAAGATCGGTGTATATGCCCTCCTGGTTTGGCCAGGCTCGGCGCAGGTGCATAGGTGCATGGGTGGCGCCCTCCCACCCTGAGAGGGGCCCCACTTCCATCAGGACGCGGGGGAGAAGCCCTGGGGTCTATGCTCCGCTTCAGGAGCGGGGGAGGGGTGGCCAAACCATGTCCCAACGGGAGGGATGGGCTAAAGGCAGGAGAACGAGGACGAGGAGGACGAGGAAGAGGAAGACGAGGAGGAGGGGGAGGACCCTCCCCGTCCCTCTTCCCCACCCAGTTGGCCCCGCCACGCCTGGCGCGGCTCTAAGGCTGAGCCGAGGTCGAAGCCGCAGGCGGGCTGCGCGCCGATGGCGGCCTGCCAGCCGACGGCGGCAACAGCGGGCCCGTCCACGGCGGCGAGGACGGCGGCGGCGGGCGGGCGAGCCCCGACCAGGACGGCGGCGAAGACGACGGCCCGGCCGACGGCGACGAGGAAGGCGACGGCGGCGCGGCGGCGAGGACGGCGGGCGGGCAAGCGGCCAGGGGCTCAGGACCGGCGGGCCCCGGGCCACGGGCCGGGAGCGCGGGGACTCCGCGGGCGCAGCGGAACGCGGGGCACGAGGCTTCGGTCTGAGAGCTCTGTCGACCAGCAGCAGACCCGGAGCAGACCTGTCTCAGTCGACCATAAGCCTCCATGCATGCTGTTGCGGTGCATGTTTCCGTCCTCTTCCGTTCCTTCCCGCCTCCTTCTGCTCCGAGACCATTTCGCGCCCGAGCGACCCCGCCCCTGCACGGGGCGCGCAAGGGTGCTTCGCGTGCAAGCTTCAAGTCGGCACTGCATGCGAAAGCCGACAGAAAGAAGCGTGGCGCCCAGCGTCGTCGGCGGGCACGCGCGAAACCGCCAGGAGCCCAGCCTTCCCCCGCCCTCCCCTACTCTCTCCTCCTCCTCCTCCTCCTCCTCCTCCTCCTCCTCCTCCTCTTCTTCTTCTTCTTCATCCTCCTTCTTCCTCCTCCTTTTCCTTCTCCTCCTCCTCCTCCGCCTCCTCCTCATCATCATCCGCCTCCTCTTCCTCCTCCTCCTCCTCCTCCTCCTCATCATCATCATCCGTCCTCTTCCAAAGCCTCCACATCCTCACCTGCTCCTCTTTCGACGTTGCCCAAGCTCGGGCACGAGCCGCATGATATATTTATCCTCCCTCCTCCTCCTCCTACTCCTCCGCCTCCTCCTCCTCCAGGAGAGCATCAGTTTGCGCGAGAAGGCTGGTAAAAGCAGCAGACAGGTCTGTCAGTGCGGCCGTGTTGGCAGTAGCGTGAAATTGGGGAGCGAACTCAAACTCAACGTTATAGGCTTCAGCGCTGGGAGCTGGGAGCAGTTCGGGCCAAAAGGCCGACAGTGGCAGCAAGCGCGGCCAGTGCTGAAGGCGGGCAGCGCTCAACTCGTAAGTAGGCTGGCGCAGAAGCTATACTGCGACAAGGCAAGGAAGGAGAATCCCACAACTCGTCAGCTACACCAGGAGCTGGTCCAGGGAGGTCGGCGCGACAAGGCTGATAGTGCAAACTGGCAGTGCGGGAAGGCGGGCAGCGGCAGGCACTCAATCAACTGCAGGGGAGAGGAGGCAAGGTTGAGGAGGAGGTGGAGGTGGAGGACAACAACGACGGCAAAGACGGAGCCGAAGACTACGTACGACGAAGACGAAACGGCGGAGGAGAAGGCCCAGCAGGTGACTCCGAAGTAGCATGCAAAGAAGCAGGTCCTGCAGGAAAAGGGTCCTGAAGCTTTTCGTTGCAACCGGGCCCATGGGGCCCTCCACGGGCCCCCAAGACCATCAGAAGACGACTCACCATGAAAAACTGGTCCTGAGAACAGTCCCGGGTCTAGGGTCCGATCCCCTCAGGGCACTTTCCCTTCATGGTGACCGAGGAGGGGGTGGAGGCGGCCAAGGGGAGGAAAAGGAGGGGGGAGAAAAGGAGGGAGGGGAAGGATGCCGATGACGACGAGGACGAAGACGAGGCGATGGAGGAAACGAAGGAATGCTGGGGACCGAAACGAACAGGCGGAGAAAAAGGGGGAGGGGGAGGGGGGAGGGGGAGGAGGAGGAGGAGGACGAGGAGGAGGAGGAGAAGGAGGAGGAGGAGGAGAAAAGGAGGAGGAGGAGGAGGTGGAGGAGAAGGAGGAAGGAGGAGGACGACGACGAGCACGAAAACATGGCAGCGGAGGAGAAGGCACTGCGTGAGACTCTCCGAGAAAGGGCGGACCCGCGCCTGGCCAGCTCCCACGGGCTGCTGGTCGCCCTCCGCCCCGCCGTCGGACAAGAAAGCATGCTGGCGAGCGCGCCGCCGACCGGCCGGAGGGAACCCGGAAAGACTCGTTCCCCCTTCCACCGCCCCTCCCCACCACTCCTCCACCTCCGCCTCCACCACTCTCTTTCTTATGTTTCATTTTCTTATTCGCATTATGATTCGTATTATTATTTTTCCTAATAATATCCTCCTCGTCATCATTTTCCTCGTCGCCATCGGCAACCTTGTCATCATCACCATCAGCATCATCAGCAGCAGCAGCAGCATCCTCATCAGCACCACCCTCATCATCAGCATCATCTTTCTCATTAGCAGCATGATCCTTCTCCTCATAGTATGTTGCCTGAAAATTCACAATCCCTGCACTGTGTTCCGTTGATGTATCATGCTCAGTGGGTTTCGTCGAAGACATGGGAAGGAAGAAGAATGCCGCTAAACTAGCAATAGGGTAACCCTGAGGGAGGAGGCCGGCCCGCCGGCCGGCGCACGCGCGCACGGTCGCAGGCACGCTCCTTTTCCTGTTTCCCTAGAACCAAACAGCTGTAAAGTAACAGGGAAAAGTAAGAGAGCAAGAGAGGCAGCAGGATGGTGGTGCGGAAGGAGTGCCTTGACCCCCCCCCCGCGGCGGGGCGTGTAGAGTCGCCCCGATCCCCCACCCACCTGGCCTGCACACGTGTGCAGCCAAAGGAGCGAACCCCCCAAAAAATGTTGCCGCTCAGCGGTGGCTGCCAGGGGGCAGAAGACCGAAACAACCCGACGAACCCCGCCCGAGCTAATATCGAACGTCAGCTCAGACCACAAAGTTCTTGCACACCTGGTGCATCCACATCTCGTTGGACGCGAGACCAATGTCGACGAAGTCGTATTGGTCGATCTGGCACACGCTCACCCGCGCCAATCTTCTCCCCAGCTTTGAAAATTATCCCATTCATCACTGTCGCGCCAGTCCCATTGATACTGGTCTCGTTGACAAACATCGTATCTGTCTGTTCCTCTGCTTGTATTCCAGATGTATGACTCGTCCTTGTCCTAGCCCTTGTCAACCTGGCTCGCCTGCGGCGTGGGTGGTGGCGGTGGCTCGGGCAGGGTGCGATCGCGATTGAAATTGTAGTTGTAGTCATTCACACTTGAACCAATGCCATATTCCAGTGCTCTGCGCGATGCGCCCATGACGAATCACGTGGACGAAATATCCTCGAATTTCGTCATCGTCGTTCTTGTCCGAGCAGTCCTGCGTCGGGCAGCAACCGCCATCGCTCGCGCGGCCGCCTACTTCGGACGCGAGCTCATCGGCCCATGCACGAACCCGATCTGGAGCAACCCAACCGGCATCGCTGCCCGACGCGGCTGAGCCGGCGGGCGCAAGATTGCAAGGGGCAAGCCTAAAGGTTTGCCTCTCCATCCAACCAGCCCTCGGCCACGATGGCGCGCGAGGGCCCCGCTGAACTCTCCACCCCGAGCCGGCAGAGCCGCTCGGGGCTTTGGCTTCCGCCGTTAGAGCCGCAGAGTCTGCGGCAGGCCGCGGGGTCGCCAGAGGGGGGTCAGCCAGGCTGCTCTCCTCCTTCGGATTCATGATACAATTTGCAAAACCAATAGCACTGCCAGCATTAGAGAAGCCAAAGAGACTGACGGACAAACGAATCCTGGCGCCGGGAGGGATGCGAGTAGACGTTTGCATGAAAACGAAAGCGCGCTGCATCCTGGTATAACATCGTCTGACAGTGCCCGAAACTGCTTTTCCCAACCATTGGTCCACTCATGAATCAGATCGAACGATTCAATCGCGGATCTGATCCGGCAGTCCAAAGCATATACATCACACAGGTTGTCATCGCGAGCGATGTCCGTTGGATTCACATTAGTGTTCGGCCCAGGAGCGTTAATCCGCTCGTCTGCGGGAGGCGCGTGCAGAACGAGCGTAAACACTCAAGGGTGGGCACAGGACAGCGTAAAAAAGATGTGGGCCCTGCACGTTGTACTAAACAAACACCCTACATCGGTGCGATGTGAGACGCATGGGAGGTAACGATGCCAGGCACCATAACGCAATGTTTGTTTTTCGAGGCGTCAAAGCACGGTTTGAATATCACCACGCGGCTACTTTGTGCGAGCCAGAATTGGACACCACGTGGGCGTCCCAGCCATACCAACACATTCACACTTCTGTGTGTTTGCCGCAACTGAGTGCCACGAGGACTGCCCAGCCCGACCAGTACATTGGAATATGCAACGACCCAGCGGCCAACTCAACAGCGCACGCCTCCAGCGAGAGAGGCCAGCATCGAGCTCCGATGGGGTCCAAGGAGGGCACCGAGGCGGGGCCAAACCACAATTTTAAACCATCTGCTCTACCAGCTACGTGTTCTGCCTTCTTGCGCCCCTTCTTGGGCCGACTTCAGGGCCCTCTCAGGGGCTCCCTGAGGTCCTCCGTGGCAACCCCGAGGCCACTGTGGAGCCATCTCGGAGCTCTTGGGAGATGTCTTTGGAGCGCTTGTGAGACCCCCCAGGGTTCCGAGGCCCGCCCCCCCCCCCCCCCCCCCCGCGAGGCTTCCACGGGGGTTCCAGGATACCCCCAGTGGCGTGTATAACTCGAGGCGTTGGTTATATACCCCTCCTGGGGCCCTCTCGGGCCATTCCCGGGCCCGTCTCGGAGCTCCTGGAGGGCATTGTGGGAAGCTCTTCTGAAGCCCCCCACGGCCCCACGAAGCCTCCAAGAGCGTTGCAGGAGGCCCCCGGTTGCGTATATAACTCGAAGCATTGGTTATAAACCCTACTTGGCGTTCCCTTGGGCCCTGCTTGGGCGCGCCGAGGACTTCCTGGGAGGTCTCTTCGGGGCGAAGGGGGGGGGGGGGGCTGTGTGAGGCCCCCAGGGCACCCAGCCACCACCCCCCCGTCAGGAGGCTTCCAAGAGTTCGGCAATTAGCCCATTTCGTTTCCGATCGTCGGCAAGCGCGTTTGGTTGCTCGAAGGCGGTGGCGGAATTGCGCGGCAGCGCAACCGATTACTTCCGATCGCTCAGTCCACATACCAAGATATACACATAGTTACAGATCGGGCGGATGCGCCCTCGAGACGAAACAATACGACCAGCATGTGATGATGTGGTGACGGTGTTGCTCAACATGTTTTCTGCGTGGTTCGCGCGGTGATTGACATAATCCCTCGTGCATCCTAGTTCTGAATGCGCCTCTCGCATTCCAGAAAGAAACCCTGCTCGGAGGCGCACGGGCAGCACGTCCAGGCCAGAAATCGCTTCGGGAGGGGGGCATGGGGAGCGGTAGCATGGGTCACGAGCGCCATGAGCAACATCGTGCAACAACGATCTGCAGTACACACATGTGAATGATGACTCCGTGGGGGAATGACACAAGTAGCTGATGTATTCGAGGACGCATTGGAAGGGATAGGGCGAAGGCCCAGTCAAGCCCTCCGCTCGACTCCGAAGTTTCCTTGACCAGGCCGCCGTAGAACGTAGCCCAGTTGTTCTTCCTGGAGGCCCACATCTCGTTCGTCAGCGGCGCCATGTGGGCGGCGATGATGTCGTTCATCCCCGTCAAGACGCTCTTGTGGACTGGCTTGGGCGGGTGCGAGAAGACTGGCACGTGGACGACATGGGCCCAATCTCCTGTCGCATCTGCCTTCTGCGTCTTGGCGTCCGAGTAGAAGAGGGGGGCCGCGAACGTGACAATCGGAGTCGACAAACACGTGCCAACTGGTAAATACACTGATTGCACACTCGTCTCGAAGAACTGCTCGGCCGTCGCTGTCGACAAGAACCCCTCCATGCCCTTCAGGGCGATGCCCGAGCTCAAGACCTCGGATATCCCGAAGAGGAACGCGATGAGGCTACCCTTCACATGATAAGCGTAGCCCTGCCAACCTACCAAGGGGAACGCATACGGCCCAATGCGGACGGCGTTCTTCTTTGCGGTGGCCACGAACGGGCCACTTCCAGCAGGCAAGTTCTCGCCGAACCCGAAATCTGCCTCTGGAAAGCTGACCTTGGTCTGGCAGCCGTTCCATGTCGAAATGTTCCGCGCCATCGCCACGTCGGACTTCTCTGCGGCCTCGGCGACCTGATCCCTCAACGTGGCGCGGGCGTTCTGGGGCGGCACTGTCCAAGCCGCCACGTTCTTGGTCAAGCCAATCCCCCCCTCAAGGTTCAGCACCACGTCCGCGCCGACAGACGCCGCGACTGCATGGCCAGCCGCCCCCTTCAGCTTCTCAGCCTCGGCGAAGAGTCTGAAGGCCATGCCGCCCACGTACCTCGCCAGATTGGCGTCGAAGCCCCCGCCCTTCAAAGCGTCGACCACCTCCATGTGTCCAGGCGACAGCGACGACGACGCGAACGACGGCGGAGACGAGGACCGCGACGACGAGGACGACGGCGGGAACGCTGACGATGAGGACGAGGCCAGCGACGATGACGACGATGAGGACGAGGCCCCCACGAACCTCTGACGACGATGGCGACGAGGACGACGATGGCGACGACAATGAAGACGAAGACGACAACGAGGACGGGCATGCGGAAGGCGACGATGACGACGACGATGACGACTTGCTTCCAGATCCGACGAGGATGACGACGACAACATCGACCACGACAACGGCGACGACAAGAAGGTCTGAGGTTTCAGGGTCGAGGTTGTGGCACCTTCTTCGTCTGGTGGCGCACGGCCAAGTACAGCTTACGCTTGCCCTCCACAGCGGTGGCATTGATGTACTCCAAACTGGCAATGCGGGTGGCAGCCAGGCTGGAGAACCCGCCCTGCTTCTTCTCCTACGCGCTGAGCTTGTCGCCGTACTCGTTCACCTTCTCAGGGGCACTCTTGCTGACAACCACCTGCAATTCGTTGATCGCCTTGCTCGCGGCCTCGAGCTCCTCGACTATCTCACCGCAGACCCTCGGGGCGTCAACCTCTGCACGGTGCTTGTCCCACAACTTCTTCAGCTTTGCGGTCGCGCTCTTGGCGCCAGTCAAGGATTTCATCATGTCGCTGAGGCGCTTCCCCATGTCCTCTTTCTCTTGGAGGGCCACCACGCGTTCTCCTTTATCTTCGCCGCCGAGCCGCTGCCTCTCCGAGCCTCGGCGGCCAGCACCTGCGCGCGCGGTCGCGCCGTTCGCGTCGCCGCGAAGGCCGTCTCCAGATGACGGACTCAGCGGGCCGAGCTGACGGCGCTGCCAAGACTTGATTGGAGCCGAGGTTCTGAAGACCGCTGGGGGCCGCACTTGAGGAGCGCACCGTTTTCGCCAGGCTCCCTTTGTTGATCTCGGTGCCCTTCTCACGGACGTCGCAGCTGTCCCCCATGGCCTCCACCACCTCCTCGCCGCCCGAATTGTAGAGGGGGCTCCCCTCGAAGAGGTCCTCGAAGTTATCTTCCGCCACGTCGAGCTCCATGCCCCCCTTCCTGTCCATGTAGTGCGCGTGGCGCTTCTTCGTGAGCTTATTGACCTTCCTGCCGCTGAGGTTGCGCTCGGCTTTCATGTCACTTTCGATTGTCAGCGTCTGCCGCGCATGAGAAATCGCACCGGTGCGATCTGCACATTTGAAAGGAAGAGCATCGGCCCGCCACTGCGCCTTGTTGTGCTTGAAGTTTGCAGAATCCTTCTCGGCATGCTCGGTCCCCGCGGCGCCCAATTACGAAATCATAGAAGTAGCCCTGAGAGGCATTTATGCGGGATAGAGTAAACGCGCACGCACAAAGGATAGCACACAGACGTCAAACATACAAACAAAAACAACAACCAACCAAACAGAACGACACACAATAATACTCTAGATACAGCGTTGTGTTCCCGACCTTGCACGACTCGGCTGCGCGCCCCCACTGCGCGCCTGCGCACCGCGCGCAACTTCTCGCTGAATCGCGCGGCAGTCAGGTCACCAGGTTCCTCGCGCAGCTCACGCACCTCCAGGCCACCTGGATTCGCGAGCGCGCCAAGGGCGCGGGGGGGCTCAAGCCCGGGCGCTCGATCAGAGCTGATCATCTCAACGTCATTGCCCACGGGGCTGCCCGACATCGCCGACGGACTGCGCGCGGTAGGAGGGTGGGCACGCACGGTCAAAGAAAGACCTCAGATGGCAACGCCTCTGGCAAGCCACAAAAAAAAACAGCTACGGAACAGGAGCGCCCAGGTCACGAATGATTGATTTGGCCTCCGTTGGACAGGCGACTCGAATACATTCGTGTTGGCAGGGGCCTCGTAGGCTTCAATCTCAAGAGCACAGGTGAGCATGAAGAAGACACCACCCCCGACCCATGAAGCGCCCTGGCGCAAGACCATATTATGGCCTCGCACAGCTGCGTGTTGCCCCGTGCCCGCACCCGCGCCTTCGGGTGCCCAACTATGCACGCATGCTGGCGCTGGCCCCAAATAGGCGTGAGCGGAACGCAACTACTACAATGACAAGCGTGCAATGTATCTTCCGATGTGAAATGCGTAGCTCTCGTGACCCCGTTCTAATCAGCCTTGTTCTACACTGCTCAACGTTTCCCCACCCAGTGCAACTACTCCCTGCTCGGCTCTTCTCCTGGCCGACACCCTTCGGGCCCCAACTATAGTGTAGTACTCCGATTATGGTTTCATGTGCCCCTACTGCTGCGCGCACCCCAGCTCTGATCATGCTCTACACGTGTTCTGCACGCGTTGTCAGATGGGCACATTAGCTCCCGAACCTGCATCGCTCCTCGCTCCTGCCCTACTCCCACGCAGGACCCCCCAAGGGGGGGGGGTAGAAATTTCAGCCCCAGTGCACGTGGACGTCACCGAAAGAATCCCTGCATGCATGCCGCACTGCCTCCCCCCCCCCCCCCCCCCCACCCATTCCACCCCGCGCGCACGCGCGCACGCACGCGCACATAACAAAACAACATGACAGCATGTAACATATGAAATATATCACCACCCCCGCCATCACCACCTCCCCAATCCCCCCCACCCACCACCACACCACCACCAACACACACACACACAACTACCACCAACACCACCACCAACACGACACACCACCACACCACCACCAACACGACCACCACCGCCACCATCCCCCCCCACCACCACACACACGACCACCACAACCAACACGACCACCCCCCCCCCCCCCCCCCCCCCCCCCCCCCACCCACCCACCCCACCCCACACCAACACGACCACCACGGCTGGAGGCGTCAAGAGACGCACATGCCATTCCTGTTCCATACGAAGCGCACTGGTGGAGGACACTCCTGTTCGCTACCTAGAGTGCCCTCGACGATTGACGCCCTTGTGGGTGACACCCCTGCTCGTTACTTAGAGCGCGATTGTGGATGACACTCCTGCTCCCTACTTAGAGTACCCTTCATGGTTTACGTCCTTGTGGATGACACCCCTGCTCCGTACTTAGAGCGCCATTGTGGATGACACTCCTGCTTCGAAATGAGAACGCCCGTCCTTGGTTATTTACGCTCTTGAGGAGGACACTCCTGGCCCCTATTTAGAGGGGCCCTGTGGAAGACGGCCCTGCCCCCTACTTAAAGCACCATTGGTGATTCACGCTCTTGTGAAGGACACTACTGTTCCCTACTTAGAACGCCCTTGTAGAGGACATGCATAATCCCATGCAGAAACAGCTGTTGAGATACACGAACCGCTGACACGCAGAAATAACTGTTGCGACACACGAACATCTGACATAGACAAAGAGCTGCCGCGATACACAAGCAGCTGATATGTAGAAATAGCTGTTGCGATGCACGAGCGGCTGGCAAAAATACGTAGCCGTTGCGGTGCAAGACCACCTGGCATGCAGACATATCTGTTGCGATGCACGCACAGCTGGCATGCAGGAGTAGCTGTTGCGATACACGAACAGCTGGCGTGCAGGCACAGCTGCTGCGATACGCGCACAGCTGGCATGCAGGAGTAGCTGATCCGATGCACGGCCAGCTGGCATGCAGAAATAACTGCTGCGATACACGAACAGCTGGCATGCATAAGTCGGTGTTGTGATGCACAGTCTGCTGACATGCAGAACTGACTGCTGCAATACACACAGCTGACACGCAGAAGCAGCTGCTGCGATACACGAACAGCTGATATGCAGAAGTCGCTGTCGCGATGTACGACCATATAGTGTGCAGAGCTAGCTGCTGCGATACACGAACAACTGGCATGCAGAAGCCGCTGCTGTGAACCACGCACAGCTGACATGCAGAAATCGATGCTGTGCTACACGAGCAAGTTGCATGCATAAGTATATGTTGCGATACACGCGCAGCTGCCATGCAAACAAGAGCGGTTGTGATACACGCGCAGCTGGCACGTGGAACTAGCTGTTGCGATACACGGGCAGCTGGCATGCAGGAGTATATGCTGCGGTACACGGACAGCTGGCACGCATAACTGGGTGTTGCGATACACGACCAGCTGGAACGCAGAAATAACTGTAAGGATACATGAGCAGCTGGCATACAGAAGTAGCTGTTGCGATACACGAACAGCTAGCACACATGCGTATATGTTGCGATACAAGAACAGCTGGCATGCAGGCACAGCTGTTGCGATACACGCACAGCTGACATGCAGGAGTAGTTGCTGTGATACACGAACTACCGGCATGCCACCACCCATGCTATCGGTATCTCCCGAGGTTGCGGTCATGACCAGGAGCCCCACTGGGGCGCGCGGGGCCCACAACACACAACGCGCGGCACCCCGTCCACACACGCGCGACACCACCACCCAGCACCACCACCACGACCCCAACTTAGCCCACCCCACCCCCGCATGTTGACGTATTCCTTCTCGGCAGCCACGGGGTTCATGACCGCGTTCGGCGGCGCGACAACTCTGGCTCGACGAAAGCGGTGCAAAGCACATGCCGTGTGCGAGTTTCGCGCGACACGGCCCAGAATTGAGCACCGAGGGTCAGGCCCGAAATGTTCGTTTTTTTTACAAATGCGACGCGCTCCTCTCTCTTTGCGCCCGCAACAATCTGTCATGTGACGCTTCGCCGTCGAACGCGCGCGAACCGCCACCGCGAACCCCGCGCCCCCACACGCACGCACACACATGCAGACACACACACACACACACAAACACACACTCGCGCACACACACACACACACACCACCACCCCCACGACCCCACATCACCCCGCCGCACCCCACCCGCACATGTGGAATCGCACGTCAGTGCCACAAACTCCCAGAGGCGCGACTCCATGTTTAATGCCAAGGCGATTGTGGGAATTTCGGCCCTAGGAGCCGTGGACATATGCAAGAAGTTATGATACGCGCGACGTTGGCCCCCGCGCCCCCCCGCCCACCGACCCCCACGCACGCACGCACGCGCGAACCATGACAGTAGATTGCATATGCCATACCCCCCCCAAAAAAAAACACACACACACACACACACACACACGCACACACACGCACACACACACACACGACACACAGACACACGCACACACATGCGCACACACGCACACGCACACACACACACACCACCACCACCACCACCCACCTAACGACCCCCCCCCCCCCCCCCCCCCCCCCCGCACCCGCGCACCACTGCCACCGCGCACAGACACCTCACCACCACCACCAACATGATCATCACCACCATAATCTACGCGTCCACCTTAGCTACTAGACTGGGTCCGAGGGACCAAAAGCATTGTTTTTGCTGGTTGGAGTGAACGTAAGGTTTAAGGTGAGAGAGAGCGGGTTTCCATAGGGAACAACATTGGGGCGGCTGGAGCCGCTCTCCCCCAAGGAGGGATGCATCCCCTTGACGGGAGGCCGACCGACCGAGGGGCGATGCATCCCTCTGGCCGATCCCCCCCCTTGTAACAGAGGGGAAATGCCTCCCTCATGCGCGACCAACCACGGAGGGGAGATGCATCCCTCATGCGCGAAGTGTCGCGCTCGAGGCTTCGTCGCTTCGCTTGCCCTCTTGGCCCCCCCCCAGCTTGCTGAATGCAAACCCAGGGCGGGAGGGTGGGAAAAATCAAATCGCAAGGCGAGCGCGGCCACCGCGGCCCGTCGCCCCCCCTTCCTCGCAGCCCCTCGGCGCGGGCAGCAAAGGGGGGGGGGCGCCCCCCCCCTCTCTTCGCCCCTGCGCCCCGAGCTGCATGCGCGGGCGACGTTTCCAAGGTGTCCGCGCGCGTACATTATGAAGCACTCACCCATGCCTGCCCGGGCCTAAAGTGCACCCATAATCTACGCGCCCACCTTAGCTACTAGACTGGGTCCGAGGGACCAAAAGCATTGTTTTTGCTGGTTGGAGTGAACGTAAGGTTTAAGGTGAGAGAGAGCGGGTTTCCATAGGGAACAACATTGGGGCGGCTGGAGCCGCTCTCCCCCAAGGAGGGATGCATCCCCTTGACGGGAGGCCGACCGACCGAGGGGCGATGCATCCCTCTGGCCGATCCCCCCAACGCTGCTCACCCCCACGCCCCGCTCGCTCACCCAACGCTGTTCACTTACCGAGCAACACAATGTATAACGGCGCGTCGCAGCCACACGTGGGGGCTACCCGCGGGCGAAGCGCCATGCGCTCTCCAAGCTGCCCGTCCAAATACGACTGTCCACGCCGATTCGCTTTGCTGGAAATCGATGT